ACCTACCTGCTTGGAAACATGGTGGCTGAGAGGCTATATGATGATGTCGCTTCTACTGTGACAATGTATCGGCTGGGTTTTCAAAGAAATGTCGTGCACACAAAGTGGATTTATATTCTGTGTCGCTATTGAGGAATTTTAGGTGAACGGAAGTTCGGCTTTAAATAATATGTTCCGTGTGCTTGTTGTCACTGCTCATTATTATTATTATTATTATTTTTTGCAGCATTGTGCAATAGGACTATGAAACCGGCGATCAAGAGCTGCAGGTATGTACTAATGCGTGGACAGAGTCTCAGTGGGCGTAGAGTGGTCCCTACAGTAGTGTTAAAGGAGAACTATGGGGTAAGTCTTTTCCCCCATAGTTCTCCTAAGGGTCACGGGAGGACACATACTGACCTCCTCCTGTGACCCAAAGCTCGGTATATAGCGATCTACAGCTCGCGGTATACCGAGACCGCCGCAGCCGGGACGGATCCAGACATTACTGTCGAGATCCACCCAGCTGCGTGAGTGACAGCTGGCTCTGCCTATCTAGAGGCAGAGCCAGCTGTACCCGCCCCCGTACGTTCCGCCACTCAGCACTGGAGGATCGGGGAGGGGGGAATCCCTGCAGGGAGCCGTGAGTGACAGTCACGGTTCTCTGCGGGCACAGGATCGAGAAGTGAGCGAGCGACGGTATGTGTTCGCTTACCTCCCGATCTACTGAGCCGACGTGTGACCGTCTCATTGTCACACGTCGGCTCGAACTATGAGGCTGAGTGAAAAATCACTCACCTCACAGTTCTCCTTTTAAAGTACCGCTCACCTGTAATATATATTTATAGTCTCCTATTAGATAATGGCAGCAGGTCCCTGGAAATGACAGCAAAATCCTGCTCTTCTGTGTGTGGACTCCGTGCATTCTAATGTGTTGGACTTTGTATTGTCAGTGTGTAACAGAGTGAAAGATAAAGGTGCTCGTGAGGAGATATCAGGTGTCCGTGTACAGCAGCCTTTAGCTCTTATTCTTTGACATGCTGCAAATACGGACAAATCATATGGTTTCCGTAACAACCGTATATAGTTGTGGCGTTGCTATGGTCACTGCAGCCGGGAAAGAACTTTAGACATCCGATGCACAGATCTGTCAAGTGTGTTTGGATGGAACAGCTAGGACACGATGTTCATATGTCATGTCCTGAGTGACACCCGGAGCGAAGGCAATTATAGTATCTTCATCACCCGCTCTCAGTCGTATATCTCATGATTTAGTACGGGACTTGCCATAAATGTGCTCGAATTTCTTTTAAATAGCCGCATCTCAATATTCATAGCGGGGAATGTATAATTTGCTCATGGATTGCTGCAAGTTCACCCTGCGGGACTATGCGGATCATCCTTGCCTTCTTGAGTGCGGCCACCGAGGATTCACTAGGGGAGTCTGCATACGCTGCTGCACAACTCGCCTCCTCGTCCTGGAGCAATGTAAGGGTAGCTCCGTGCTCCCTGCGCGCTGCCTTGATACTAGAAATTAACGGGCCAATAGGTCAGCATGGCCGGGGATACCCGTGCCGCCACTCCCTCTTCCCGCAGCCACTCAGGTGAGAGCTTCCAGCGCCCAGACTTCCTGCCACTGGGCTGAAGCAAAAATAAAAGAAAATACTGGCACAACCGGAACCAAGAAGAAAACAACTGGAGAACTGTAGGCCCGCCGGTAAGGTAGCCCCAAAGGATAAACCGGTAGCCCAGGGCCGTTCATCTT